CAGAGAGAGGCATTGTATGTTCCCTAAACATGCTGTACATGTCAGAATAACCTGGCTTTGCACTTTGTCTAGCACTGAAATGAAAACTCTGGGTTTTATTCTTCTTGTAGGGATCACTCCATCCCTGATTCTGCTTAGGAAAAATACATCTTTATGAGAGTCTAGAAAATGTAGGCAAGAAAAATACAAAAAGAGTTCTCAGAAGTCAATGCCTTGTTAGATGGTAGCCATGACATGTCACAAAAGGAAGCCACCTGGCACTTCAGGTTCAGGAAACCATCTGTCAGCATACACAGAAGAACACAAGTTCTTGAGTTTTCCTTCTCCTCTTCTATGTTTTCAGTTGGTGGGTAGATTTTTCATATTCCTTTTCTTAAATTTATAGAGCAATAGCACTTCTCATAATATACGGAAAGTGTTGACTTTCTCAGACTCATGGAGTCAGTACCCACAGGCTGACTGCTTTAACGAAGTATGAAAGGCTGGTCTCTCGGAGTCCTGATGGCTGAGAATTCAAAATCAAGGTTTGGTTGGAATAACTTTCTTCTGAGGCTTTGAAGAACTTTTTTCCGTGATCCCCAAGTCTTGAGAACTACCTGGTAATTAAGAGTGTTCCTTGGCCTGTAGCAGCATCTTCCTGAATTCCATCTTCAAGGTCACGGGATGTCCTTCCTCTGTGTTCCACTATACAAGTGCATTTTCTGGACATTGTGGATTAGGGATCCACTGTGCTCCAGTGGGACCTCATCTTAATTAATTTCTAATGAGGTCACAGCTCAGATATCAGGCATTAGGATTTTATGATGTGAATTTTTAGAAGTCTTCAAGTATAGTTAAGCATTTAACCTATAACAACTACTTACACTGCGAGTTAATATCCAGACCACTAAAGATGATGATATAATGTGTGTCTCTAAGCCAAATTGTCATGCCTCTAGTTTAAGCATGATCTTGAGTCCTTGCAGTGCAGGTTGAGGCAGGATCCTCTGAGTGGGCCCTGGGACTCTATATGGCTGATGAGCTCCAGGGAAAGACCAAGGTAGTTAGTTGCTCCACACAGGCCACTCTGGGCAAGAAAGGACTGTGCTCCCTGAAGAACTTTTATGAAATGAGGAGGAAGATTTGCGAAAGCTGTTTGAAGTATAATGGCAGAGCAAAAATAGTTCAGCAGCTCATGTGCCTGCTTAGGTTTAGGGCTGACTGGATTCTGTATGGCTCTTGATGTCCTAGCTGTAGAGAAAGAAACCCTGGCTGAGGCCACGGTGAGCCAAAGCAGGTACACAGCATGAGGCACATATGCTAATGATCACTAATAAGCCCATTCATGGCCTGAGTTCTTTGCCCATCTCCCATAACATCGTTACCCACACAGATGGTAGCAGGCTGGGCTGCTGTTTCTAATTAGTGTGGTGAGTCATCATTGATGAACTTCAGACAGTTCAGAGCTATCAAGGGCTGCAAGTCACTAGAACCCAGCCCCCTCTTCCTGATGAGCTGCTGCTGGGTTCTAGGATGTAACAATCAGGACTGGCCACACACTATGATGATCAGTATGGCTGCTTCAGCAGGAAGCAGAGGCAGAATTCCTGGTATCCTTATAGGAAAAGACTGCTTTCTTCTTCAGCTCTTCGTTCAATGTTACTGAAAAGGGAGACTGAACGTTAATCCATGAAAACTAAAGTAGTCAATAAGACTGAAGGATACAGCCTTGGCTCTGGGGCTGCACACACAATGGTGATTCAGACTGTTGGCTTGGAGACCTGCAGGCAAGACTTGGGCTCCATTTCTTCCTAGTTTTCTTGTTGCCGTCAACTCCAGAGTCTCTAAAGCAAATCCATTATGTTAAAGGGTGGATGGACATCATGGTCCAAAAACAAAACAGCAGAAGGTGATAATGTTTAGATTTCTCTGTTGACTTTTGAAAGAGGAAGCCAGGATATCAATTGCATCAGAGCCTTTAGGATCTGTTTTTTCGGCTTCCCTGTTAAATTAGCTTTTTTTTTTTTTTTTTTTTTCCTTCTTCTTCACTAAAGCAATGATTCTCGGGCAGGGTAGCCCATCATCTCTCCTTAGGGCATATGTGACAATCTGTGGATACATCCTTGGCTGTTCAGCCCAAACAGGGTTGTTCTGCTGGCATCCCGTAGTTGGATGATAAAGCTAAATATAAAAATGCAAAGGTCAGCCCCCAAATTAGCTGCTTTTTTGTGTGATTCAATACCTGACAAGAGGCAAGGAGGCAAGCTTCATTTTGCTTTGTAGTTCCAGGGTATAAAGTCAGTCATCCAGGGGCCAGCATGGTGGCAGGAGCATTTTGAGGCAGCTTGTCACTCTGTGTCGTCCGCAGTAAGGAAGCCAAGAAAGATCTGGAAGTAAAACCGCAAGGCCTGTCTCCACTCATTCATGTCTCGGGCGAGGCTCCACCTCCTCCTGTAGCTTCCACACCTTTTCAAAGCGTGACCACTGCCTGGAATTGTCCTGTTTAAACACATGTTTTAACTAATGGAGGGATATTTCACACTTAAGCCACAGCAGACCTATAAAAGTTATCTGGCCTAAAATGTCAATAGTGTCACAGTGGAGAAAGTGTCACTTAGCTAAAGTCAGAATTGTCTAATTTTCATGAAATGAGTAGGAGACACATCAATACACCTTAGAATTCTTCTAGTGGGGTTTATCTTTATAAATGTATGGAATAGAATCTATATTTAGTCTACACGTAACCCTTTGACTGCAAGCATATGTTTTATTTCCTTCAAAACTGAGCAAAATAACCAAATGTATATTATACAACAAAGGGCTTTTGTCAGCTACAAATAATAGAATGGGCAGGTTTTAAAAAAAATCAATAGAGTTGGAGTTATTAATAGTTACTTCAAACAAAGATTTTAAGCATAGGGATCAATAGAAAGGAGCACTCAGGAGAGAAGTTAAGACTCTCCTAAAAGTATGGGTATGCATAGCAGGGATCTTAAGAAGTCTTATTAGTAGAAACAAACCTGGAGCCAGGTTTTGGGGTGAACACTGGAAGATCAGAGAAGCAGAACAAGTCACAGCTTCCTCACCTCACCAATTCCTCAGCTGATCCTGTTTCCTCAGACTGGAAGCTTCTGAGTCCTCATCCAGAATGAATCTCAGCTGAACTGCTCAAAAGCCTGAAAGCTTACCAGCTAAAAGCTTCTAGTTTCTGGTCTTCACGCCTTATCTTTCTGCTTTCTGCCATTCCTGGGATTAAAAGCACATGAGTCACCTTGCCAAGCTGTTTCCAGTGTGGCCTTGAACTCAGAGATCCAGGCGGATCTCTGCCTCTGGAATGCTAGGATTAAAGGCATGTGTGCCACCATGTTCTAGACTCTATATCTAGTGGCTGTTCTGTTCTCTGACCCCAGATAAGTTTATTAGGGTGCACAATATTTTGGGGAATACAATACCACCACAGGTATGAGCTTCTCAAAGAGAGAAATTCAAAGTGTTTTTTATAGCACTGTGTATACTTGCTTTTTGGCAGCTTCTGAAGGCACATCTGGAAAGGTGACTAAGGGACTTAAGAAGATCACAAGGTGGTTCCTGTGCACTGGCTAGGATTATTAGACCCAGTCAATAGTCTTCAGGGTATTATGATAAAATGTTATGTATGGTATGTAAGCATCCTGGCTATCTTAACTTCAGAGCCAAGCTGGGGCTTTTAGGTGAGCACCTTTGATGTCATGTCTTGTAATTCTGCTACATGTAAGGCAAATGTTTTCCAAGTTAGGAATTGCAAAGTCCAGGCTGATAACAGCAAGTTCCTAGGCATTCTCATCAACAATAATTACTACAAAGATGTGGTTTGAAGAGTCCTGTTTTTTTTTGTTTTTTTTTTTTTTTTTTTTAATATTAAGGCATATTTCCCACATTGGCAAACCTTCCACTGCTCCACTGGAGGTGCTTCAGTACTCATCCATGTTATCTGAGTGAGTCTCCTATGGAGGAATTTTGGAAAGCCTAAGTCTTCAAGGACAGTCATTACTGGAACAGAGACCTGAGCCCCTTTTGGGGTATAAGACATGATCCTATACATCGGTTTACCTTTTGCCATGGGCTAATGCCCTATATTTTTAGAACCCAGATGAGGGCAGTTCTTATTAGTACCCTGGCTTCCCAGAACAGTGACAGTTTTTAGCCCATTGATAATTAGAAGAGAATTTGCTTCTATTTACATTGAAGACAAATCGATCTCACCTTCAAAATAACTCGAGATACTGCTTTCTTTGTATTCTGTGTATGTTATGATGGTTGGATGAGAATTTACATAAAGTAGGAAATATGACCCTTCTAGGATCTGGGTATTGTATTGGAAACTTTCCCCCAGATACAGAGATTAAATTGATGCCTGGCAAAATACCATAGACACCTAAAGTGATTTCCAAGGAGAGAAAATTTTTAATACCAGAAACCACTGTGTTGGAACAACCCTTGAAGAAAGTTTGAAAAATTGAAGTATCTCTTGGGAGAAATAAATTGAATTAAAAAGTCAGCCAAAATCACATATTTGTTTGGAATGCTCATAGAACCATATATGCTATTTTATACAGTCATCAATTTCAAGGATATTATAATCTAGTTATGGGGAAAACAAAACTACAATAAGAGAATGGAGAGATGACTCAGCAGTTAGGAGCACAGATTCATGCAGAGGACAGGAGACAAATCCCAGCACACATGTTAGGTGGTTCATAACCACTTGTAACGATAGCTCCAGGGAGATTCAATGCTTCTGGCCTCTGCAGACACCTGCGTACATATTTTCATATACATAATTGAAAATAAAACAAAGCAAATCGTTATAGAACCCAACAGTAAGATTGACTACTCTATGAACTAAATGTATTGTTTCCTTTCCTGGAATGAGCTTACCTCACACCTAATCTTCACTGTTTCTTGCTCCATCCCGTTTCTATGCCAGCAGGGCATCCTGATGGGGGAGCTGCAATTGTTCCATCCTGTTGCTATCCCCGCAGGGCATCCTCATGTGAGAGTTGCAATTGCAAGTGTGAGAGGAAGAAGCATTAGCTTTGCAGGATGTTCCCAGTGAAAGCATGACAGAAGGGCTATCCTGAGCTATCACTTCGTTCTCCCATATGAAAGACGCAGACGATTGAGAAGAACAGAGAGATTCTTAACACCCATGGAAGGTTATGGCATTATCAAAGTAAGATGTGCTTACAGTGGGACCTGTTTGTAGACTGTGAGTAAAATTGGGCAGAGAGGGATAATTTTTAAATTTGTTTTTTAAAGAATTATATACACAGGTACTCTATTATCATTTTTAGCCCTCTCTACTTGCAACTCTTTCCATCTTTTCCCACTCCCTCTCAAATTCATGACATCTGCTTCTTTAATTGTTTTTGATACACATACATATGTGCATATATACATACACATATATAAAACTATAACACACATATCTTAGAGTTCATGTAATACTGTTCTTATATGCATATGTTAAGGGCTGACAAATTGGAATTGAATAGTCTCTCAAGGGGCTCATCCCTGGAGAAGACTGATTCTCCTCTGGGCAACCATTGATTGCCTGTAGCACTTCGTATGCAGACAGGGCCTTGTGAAATTTCCCTTATTTGTTGTGTTTTGTCAACTGACGATAACTTTGGTGAGAATCCAGCTGCAATGGGAGGTGAGTTAGTCCAGGAAAACAAAAGCCCATGAAATCTGAAGGATGCCACTGTGAAATCTAATTGATTCTTCCTTCCTGACCCCAGTCATGGTTTTAAATTGTCAGGCACAATAATTGTTTCTCACAGAGGACGGAGGAGAAATCAGATGTGAGTGGTGGCTTGGCTTCACCAGAGAGGCATGGCATTTGCTCTGTCATCTAAATTCACGAAGTTTGGGTTGACACTGGGTTTGCCTTTTTTGTGGGAATCTGAGTGGCTATGACCAGACTTATTTAGGCAATAAACTAAATTTATCTTCTGAATTTGGGGGCAAGACTTATATTTTCCCAAGTTGTTATGAGAATTTCCATGTAGCCTCATTGTTTAAGGACCAGATGAAAGCAGTAGTTTACCAGAATTTGTATTTCCCCTTGCAGCAGCCAGCAGCAGGCATGTCTACAGCCTTCTGTGACTGCAAAGACATTTTTAAAATAGAATGTTTTCAAGGCAGCATTATAGATTTAAAAAAAAATCTGAGCTAAAAGTGACCTAAACAACTTGTGAACAATTCTTTCTTCTTATGTTCAGTGATTGGCATTTTATGGTGGTGACATTCTCAGAAATAATGATCCAGCTGAAGAATTAAAAGCAAAGCTTATCTCCTGTGCTTTCTCAGAGAGCTCACCATCCCTTAAAAGATTTTCTCCATAAACTGAAAGATAAGATGACACAGAGAGATAGACTGTTAACATCCCCTCCCTGCCTGCTGGTAAGTAGGGTTGTATGTGGGGGCTGATATCCAGAAGCATTGTTTCATTTTGTATTTGAATCCTTATCAAGAACTCAATTAATAGCCTACTAGATCTGAACTTGGTCCATTACATTTCCTGGACCATTGCTAAATACTTAAGGAGCTTCAATTAATTTTTTTGTAGAAAACCCTAAATAATGTAAGTATTGACTCACTTAGATTCAAATTTTGGTTATTGGAAGTAGAAGGCATCAGGCACTTTCATTCTTGCTTGCGAGTGGCTGCTGAATCACAAGGATATAGTATATCTTTAAAAAGCTGTGGGATGGCTTTTTAAAGATATCCTATAAAAATTTCCTGCACTGTTATACGAGGTACTACTAAAAGCCATGCTATCCCCATAATTGTGAGCATAACGGTTTAAATCTGTTTCAACATGGACCTCATGAAAGGAAGAGAAAAATCAAGACTTGCATTCTCTTTGATTCTTTGACCTTGAACAATAACCTACTTCTTCTTTCAAAACCTGAGAATCTTGGAGATAGAAGCTCATACAATTTTCAGGATTGGCTGGATGCATCAACTTGTCATGATGTCAGTCAGAATCGCTCAGAAGTCACATCTGTGCAGAATACTGACTGACATCCAATTCCTATGTGAGCCAGCCTGGCCTTCGTAGCTGCTACTTGTTATCTGGACTGCAGCAGCTATTCAGCAGGTTGGTGTATCCTCAGGACCCAATGTCTTGTGTAGGATACAGGGAATACATCTATTTTGTAGTTCTGAATTGGAGTGGACTCCTATACTTTCTGATTTGGCCTTCAAATATGATTAATGACCACCTTAGGATACTTAAGCTTTCTATCTAGTAATTATAGCCCCCTTTGCCATTTTCTACCATTTCTAAAGCATTCCAGTAATCTCTGGTAGATGTACAGTGTTCAAAAATATCCCTCACTATAGAAGTTCTTTCCAAAGAATTTATGCATTTATCTTAGATACAAATATATTATCAGCTTATAAGAATTATTATGACATTTAAAGCCATGGTTAGGAAATAAAGTCTCTCTGGGAATGAGACAGTTGAGGCTCTGGTCTGCCTTGATGAGGAAGGCTGGGTTCAGAGTGCTTTGATAAATAGGCCTTTGCCTTCTCAGATCTGCCTTGCTCTCAAGACTGCACACACATTACTTCTCTGAAGATGGAGCCAGAGATATTTCACAAAGACAGCAGAGTTTATGAGAAAAGCCAGGGAGATAAACTCTATCTTTTTTGGGTAGAACTGATAAGCCATGTTTCCCTGTTTGCCATTCTGGAGTAGGACATCTGCAGATCATTAGCTATCCACAGCTATCATTCACGTCAATTAATTGAAAGAATTAAAGAACATCTTAAAGATAAAAATACACCAACTTTGTCCCTTGGTTTCTTGTGAACCAGCATCATATTGAGCTGCATTCAAATACAAAGACACATTATTTTGTTTAAAATCTTTTATTCTTGATGGTATCACCATTCTTTTATTTCCCAGTATTTTATTGAGACTGAAAAATGTGAGTTCTTCTTGCCACCCAATCTCTCTCTCTGTCTCTCTGTCTCTCTGTCTCTGTCTGTCTCTGTTTCTCTCTCTCTCTCTCTCTCTCTCTCTCTCTCTCTCTCTCTCTCTGTCTCTCTCTCTCTCTCTCTCTCTCACACACACACACACACACACACACACACACCGCTCTTCCCGATACTCCTTCCTAGACTGTTACCTCTGACTCCTTTAGTCCTGATGTGAATCATTTTGTTATAACTTTGTTGCTTAGGGTTATCATCAACTATAGTGGAAAACAATACCTGTATGTTGAATTAGAGATCAAAATTTTAATAATAAATAGATACCTCCCTTGCATGACCTGTCTCATCAAGGGAAAGACAGCGATACCCTAAATACTTGTAGCAATCTTATATAGCTTATTTTTTGTTTTGAGTTAGGCCAACCTCTGACACTTCTGTGGTACACTTCTGTGCTCTCACTACTAACTAAATATTAGAATTGTTTGGCTCCATGCACAGACAGAAATCAACAAGCCTTTATCTGTAAGAGATTTTTCTGTTCTCAGTCTCTTTAAAAATTACATTAGGACTTCTGCTAGTGTCAAAAGGGCTGGCTACTCTTCAAACAGACAGGAAATACTATTTTGGCCAATCTGCTGATCCTGTTTTTGGTATGTATATGTATAGATATGGATGCACACTTATAGTATACACAGATATGCATGTTTATGTATACATGCATGCATCATATATCATATATGTACCATATGACATTTGCATTCTATGTATAGATTTAATTTCTATAAATTAGAAAGCAAATCAAAGCTTTCAGACAATGACCTGCCAAACACAAATGTTATTCTCCCTTTGGCTGGCTGGGTACTGAGTTATCCATGGAGCAGGGGGTCAGCTTAGGAGCACAATAGGTCTGTATTGCATAGAGCTCACTAAGAGGTTGGTCAAATAATAGAGGCTTTGAAAGCTACTTGGAGGTTGCTTAAAATTTCCAAGTGCTTTGGGGAAAGCAAGTTCCATGATTTTTCTCCATGTCCTAATATAAGGCAGCAATAACTCCCTCTGAATGTACCACTTGCAACTACTACCTCTTTCTCAAATTACAACAATTAAGACATTGCAGCATTTTGAACTCTTAGCCTTGGTGGATTACTAGTAGGAGTCTAAGAGACACAAAATCACCTAATCTGTTTGTCAGCTTCATGTATATATTTATTTAAAGATGGTAATCTAAGGATAATCCCCAAGTCGTTTGTCCATGAAGCTCCTTATTGTCAAGTGTCTACAGGTAATGAAAAAGACTAATGTTAAGCATATTCAATCTCTTACCTGTTGCATTTGTGCTTGGGCTAGAAACTTGGAAAGACCTTTCTTGGGGATGGATACAAGGGAAACTACCTTGTTAATTGATGTTGAAAGTACACCAAAGTCTGAAAGGAAGTTCACTTGGTTGTTAGCATCCTAGATAACTATTAAAATCAGAAAATTTCCCTTAAACTCATAAATAAAAAGGAATGTATTAAAACAGATGTCTCAGAAACACAAAGGACAAAAAAGGACTATTATGAACAATTACATGCCAATAAATTTGAAGCAGACCAGTTTTTAGGACCATAAAACATACTTGAGAACAAATCAGCCAGAAACAGAAAACATGAAGAGACAGGTAACAAAGGAGATGGAAGCACTACTTACTAGGATCCTTTTAATAAGTGGAAGTCTGGGACCAGATAGCTTCATGGCTGAATTCTAACCAATGCTCACAGAAATCTAATTGGAATCTTTAAGTTCCTCAGGAAAAAAAAAAGAAAAGAAATATGAAACTAGCATCAGTGCCCAGGATCTCTAGTACACAGACACATCAGATGTCTCCAGTGACACACAAACTGGATCCTGTGTGGGGGATCCCACTTCTCTGTGGGAGGCCCACTTCAACTTTTCCCCATGATACTCTTGAGGGAGGAGAGAGAAATATTTAGATAGAAGGATAAAAGGGGAAAGAGACAGATAGAAACACAGGACAGTCTTGGGAGGGCCTGGATCAATATCCACCAGCCCCTTCTCTCTCTTCTAAAGGACATTTATAGGAATGCTAAGGGGTGGAGCAAAAGTCCTCCCCCTAGCACAGCCAAGTGCAGATCCTTTTCAATCACCTGGTAACCACACAAGTAGTCAAGCAATCCTCTAATGCAGACCTGCTGGGTAAAGCAAACTCAGATCTCACTAGGAAACATTTGTGGGCCTCCACAATCCAGTAGCTCATTAAGAAGAATGTACACCATGGGCTAGTTCATTTATCCAAGGGGTTTACTTGTTGATTTTTACATATGACAAACAAATCATATGATCATCTCAACAGATGCAGAAAAAGAATATAATAAAGGTCAACATTTATATATGTTAAAACATCATTTTTTTTTATATTTCAAAAAATAGAGAAATATTTTTTCAATGAAATAAAAGTCATTTGTGGAAAGCCCACAGCTAATATGACCAATGGGGAGGAACTAAAACTTTTTCTCTAAGATCTTGTCCAAGGTAAGGATGATCACTCTCTCTCTAATTCTACATAATGCAATATTGAAAGTGCCAATAAGAGCAATTGATTAAAAAAAGAATTTATTCAAACTGGAAATGAAGTAGAAGGAAATACCTGTTTGCAAATGGTAGGATCATATGTAGGGAAAACCTAAAAAAATTGTTTAAGATTATAGTGCAAAATTATCACAGTCTTAACAACATGGTCCGGGCACAGTGACAGACAAGAGCAATAGAACAGAACAGTGAAGCCAGAAATAAACGCTGGCCAATCAATTTTGACTAGGAAAATAAATAGTTGGGAGTAAACACACGAGTGAAAGTGATGATAAAGAAGGGACTAGAAGGTTCTAGCTAAAACATACAGTGGTTCCCTCTTATCTGTGGCTTCGTTTCCCAATATTACTCATAGTTTGGAAATATTAAGTGGACATTTCTAATAACAAAGCTGTACAATATTCTGAGTAACATGAGGAACTCTTTCACCATTCCATTTCATGGTGTAGGATGCCACTTGTCTTTCTGCTCAGTGTGTTCACATAGTATACACTACCTGCTGATTGGTCAACCAATGAGCTTCTTGGTTACCCAACTGAATACCATGGTAGTGCAGTGCTTTTGCTTCAACAACCCCCATTTTAATTAATTCCACTATTGTAAACCCAGAATAGCAATGCTGGTAAATCTGATGTACCAAAGAGAAGCCACAGGAACTATGGTTGGAACTAATCCTGAATCTGTGAAACTGTGATGAAAGAAAAATAATTATTTACTAGGTTTTGACAGTTAAGCTTTTCTTTGAAAATTTTCAAGCATGTATGTAATGCATTCTGATTACTCTTACTTTTCATTTCATACACATATATGATGCTTTCTCAACACCCTTACTTTCTGCCCTCTCTCATCTTCATCCTACCTCCATCAAC